CAGTTAAATTAGCCACTGACTTGAATGAAGTTTTGACAAAAAATAACAACCAACGTTAACTTCTCTACCAAATAGTTGAGTATCAAAGTAAAACATTTTTCCACTGAGGCAACAAAGAAGTAGTTAAACCATAATCATTCGAAATGGCAATAATTTGATCTATTCAAATATACATATGTATGTACATATAATATATACTAAATATGTAGTTAACTACATTGTAATAATAAAATATATATGGCTATATATAATTAATAACATATGGCTATTGTTTTTTCATATTAATTTCATATTAATTTAGTTATATGTCGAGGTTTAAAAATGGCTGGTAGAGGGACACCATTTGGGGCATATAGGACACTGGTACTCACGATTAAAAAACTGAAGAAATGTTACAAAAGGACCTTTTTAAAGTACTTATAACAGCTTTTTGTATCTTTACCCTTTTCATTTGCCCTAAGTTATCCCTGCTATATACATCCATACACTTAGCATCACCCTAATAAGTAAAACTTATTCATGTAACACTGACATAAGCTGATTTTAATAGATTTCAAAAATATATTATTTTAGACAAAAATGGAAATAGGTCATTGCAATATACATTCTTATAATTTTTATAACCCTAATAAGTAAAACTAGTTCATGTAACACTGACACTAACTGATTTTAATACATTTTAGGCAAAAATGGGGTTCTAAAGGGATTTCAGAGCAGGTGTGGGGGACTACTTCCCGTCATCAATTTGCAAAAAAAGTTATTTTTGAACTTTATATATATATATATATATATATATATATATATATATATATATATATATATATATATATATATATATATAATATATATATATATATATATATATATATATATATATATATATATATATATATATATATATATATATATATATATATATATATATATATATAGAATAGAATCCGAATCCGATAGATAGAATCCGAAAAAATATTATAAAAATTTTTGAAAAAATCGGCTTCCAAATAGAAATTACGACAAACCTAACAATCGCTAACTTCATAGACGTTACATTTAACCTTGAAAAAGACTCATATCATCCTTTCAAAAAACCAAATAGCAACCTACTTTACATCCACACTGAGTACAACCACCCCACACAAATTATTAAACTAATTCCGATTGCTATCAACGATAGGTTATCCCAGAATTCTTCTGACGAAAAAATATTCAACTCGGCAAGGGAAGAATATGACGAAGCCCTAAAAAGAAATGGGTTCAAAGATTTTAGCTTCAAATACAACCCTAAAATTGATACCAAAGTAACCCCCAATCGTAAAAGAAAAAGAAATATAATCTGGTTTAACCCACCATACAATAAAAACGTTCACACAAATATAGGCAAAACCTTCTTACAATTAATCGACAAGCAATTTCCTGAACCAAATCCGCTTCATAAACTATTTAACCGTAACACAACAAAAGTCAGCTACAGCTCTACAAGCATCATAGCAAAAATTATAAAGAACCACTTCAATAAAATTATTTCGATGAACCCAACGGCCACTTTAGCTTGCAATTGTAAACTAAGCAAAATCTGCCCTATGAATGGAAATTGCAGAAAAACAAATGTAATTTATAAGTGCATTGCATCATTCTCAAACACACCCGACAAAACATACATTGGTTCAACAGAGGGCATGTGGAAAACTAGATGGGCGAATCACAAGCAATCCTTCAAAAATAAAAAACTCACAAATGCAACCACGCTTTCTAAATATATATGGGATAAAATATATGGGATAAATATATATGGGAAAAAATAAAACAAAAACAACACCCAATTTAAAATGGTCCATCATAAAATATGTCCTCGCGTACAACAACATAACCAAAAAATGGTTGTTATGCTTATACAAAAAACTAATTATTTTATTGTATAAAAATCCTCAAGAATTATTAAACAAAAAAAACGAACTAATATCTAAATGTCGCCATGAGAACAAATTTTTGCTGGACAACCACAAACCAAAAGATTAGATTTTTCAACTCATTTTCTTTTGTACAGATTTATTATTTTTACGAGAAAAAAAACATATTTACACCTGATGATTGCATTTAGCATGAAACTAATAGTTGTGAAAAAAATGCAGTTTTATTTATAAATAATATATATATATATATATATATATATATATATATATATATATATATATATATATATATATATATATATATATATATATATATATATATATATATATATATATATATATATATATTGTATGTTTAATGCATGTATATCAAAAAATATGAACATATAAAGTTAAAAAATCCCTCAACTTGAGGGGGATGCAAATTTTAAATTTTCGAACGCTAAAATATTTTTCAATGAAATTTAAAATTTTTCGATGAATATAAGTCTTGAAAATTGTATAAAATTGAAAATAGTATAGAAGTTATTTCATCAACTTGTTGCTCTCACGTTTGGGGAAGGGGGCGGGCTAAGATTTTAGGGTTTCTTGTTCCCATTGAATTGAAGTAAATAGAATAAAGTTAAAACAGAGCTGTATTTATATATTGTATTTATATGTATATATATATATATATATATATATATATATATATATATATATATATATATATATATATATATATATATATATATATATATATATATATATATATATATATATATATATAATATATATATATAGTGCCGGATCAAGGGGGCTAGAGGGGACTATAGCCCCGGGCCCCGCAAATTTAGGGACCCACAAAAATTTTAGACAACCTTTTTTTTTTTTTTATTTATATATATATATATATATATATATATATATATATATATATATATATATATATATATATATATATATATATATATATTCTGTGTCCCCTTCCCTCTTCCTTTCTTTTTTATGACAAAAATTATACACGAAAATAAAAATCATTTTTTTAAATGCATTTTTGATTTAACTAAATATAAACCAGTATGTTACACTATGTCTTAGTAAGCAGAAAATCTTGTGAAAGTTTTTTTCTTGTTTTTAAAGCTGCAAATTGGTCTACAACACCTTTTAAATTGTATTGAGTTCCTATTTCTGCTTCAGTATCTATTCGGCTAAGTACAAACCATACGATTTGCGCCACTGTTGTCCTTAAATGGATTTTAATGAGCTTAAGAATCTTTTTGCAGTTAATTACCTAATTGGTAATGTCAAATATAAATAAGTGCTGCTATTATATTTTTAAATGAGCAACTTTTATCATAATATGTTAATGTGGACAAGAGTAAAATGCAAAAATGCGAAAATTTTTGATGTGTGTAATGCGGGAACAAAATACGGAACAGTTCTCTTAACACTAACTTTATCGCTGCCATAACCAAAAAACTTGTCAATGATTGTAGATTTAAACTTTTGAGTCTTTCGCAGTATAAGAGGCGTCTTAAGCTGGAAGTGCATTTTATTGCTTTGCACTGAATATAGATTCGACTAAGGTTTTATCGGTTTTTAAACAAGAAGCCCAAATAGACACTGTATATTTATGGTGTGGTCTAATAAACACTTTATATAACTTGAGAACGACATTTTCATCAATGAAATTGAATATCTTTTTTCATATCAAGAATTTGTAAGGACTTTGAGACAACTGTTTCAAAATGTGTACTCCACTTGACGTTACATGAAATAATGACTCCTAAACTACGCATTATATAGGTTTACTCCTGAACTACGCATTTTAGTAGAGGTTTTAAGTGATTGATTTATTACACCTTTTTGTTTTGTTTCCCATTTATTCCAAAATATCTTAATTTTAACAATAAGTTTGTTTTGAGGTAGAGAATCAACGCTTCGGTGAACCCGAGATTACACCAATATATCGGTAAAATATTATAGTAGATGAAATAGTACCAAAAGTCTCTACAAGATAAGTCACCCATAATTTATGGTAAAGAAAACTATGTTGATTTGCAGAGAGCATTTTATTATCGTTAATGTGCTTAAAGATTTTTTTTCTTAACAAGTATTTTGAATATTTTGCTGAGTTTGGTGAAATATATTGTATTTCAGAATAAAAGAATTTATGAAAGATTTTGGAAATGGAAAAAATGTTTATAGGGGTTTTGATGGGTAGGTTAATAATGTCTGAAAAAGAAAAATCAAAGTTTTCATTACATATTTATTCATATAAACATATGTTTATACTTATATCAATTAAGAATGCTTTGCAAAAAAATTTAACGATTGGAGCCTGTGAACAAAAAAACCCTAAAATTTTAACTTCACCTGCCCTAAACGTGAGAGCAACAATTTGATAAAATAATTTTTATACTATTTTTAACAAAATCTATAATCATCAATAAATTTTAAAATTCACACAATAATTTTTTAGCGTTCAAAAACTATGACCATAAAAACTTTGAACCCCCTCAGTTTAAGGGGGTTGCAAATTTTATAAGGCCATAATTGTTGAACGCTAGGAGAATATTGTGTGAGTTTTAAAATTTATTGGTGAATATATAGTTGGTTGAAAATAATAGAAAAAATATTTAATCAATTTGTTACTCTCACGTTTGGGGCAGGTGTAGCTAACATTTTAGGGCTTTTTTGTTTCTAGGCTCTAATCATTGCAATTTTTAACAAAGCATCCTAATTTGATATAAGTATAAACATATAAATTTTTGGAGTTTGCTTCATACCTGTAAGTATCTCAAACTTCAAAAAATGCTGCATCCGCGCCTGATATATATATATATATATATATATATATATATATATATATATATATATATATATATATATATATATATATATATATATATATATATATATATATATATATATATATATTATTTTAGAAATTTTAGGTAATTCAATTGTAAAAATAAAGTCTAAAGTTATTAAAATAATCGACTAAAAAGCTAACTATTGATTTTTCAAATGAAATAGCCATAATATTGATAAATTTTTTTTAATAATGTTCAATGATATCATATTTCAAATTTTATTTTTTAGTTTTTCTATCTGAAAAATAAAAACTTTATAAACAACTCATAAAATGAACGTATCATTTAACGTGTCACTTGGCTTATTGAATTTTACTAATACAAACTCTCTCCAAAATCACCGTGATGTCTTTTCATATGAAGAAAATTTGGCCGTTCGCATATGCTACACTATTGTTACATGTATAGGTTAGTATTTATATATTTTTGTAATTTTAAATTTTGAATATTTGCACTAAATTAGTGATGATTGATATATTTTAAGAATATTTACAATATACTTTTTTATTTATACCTTATATTCCTTCATTTTTTTCACCGGAGATCCTGCAAACGAATACAGTTCATTGTACGAATACAGTTCATTGTACGAATACAGTTCATAGTAATCATTTAAAGATTGAAATATTCTTAACTCTCCAAAATTTTCTCAGAATTGTGAAGTTCAGAAGAACCTTCACACCATATACAGGCATACTTTCTTCCATGAGCATATAATTTTAAATTATGATTCAATTTATAAATATATTGTTGGGTAAAAAAAAACTTTTCTTAATATTGTGTTTACTTTATGTCTTATTATCTTAAAATTATTTAAAAATAACATACCGCAATTTGTTAATTAACTTCATTTCAGAAGCCAATGAGTGCTTGCATTTATGCAACCAATTACAATTTTTTCACTATTCTTGTCATGTTAAAATGATTCTGATATACCCTCTCACAATAAACTAAAACAAGTTTACCAAAGTTTCTACTTCATTGTATGGAATCTTTCTCTGATTAGTTTCTGGAGTACCAAGTGTAATATGAGTACTTTTACCTTCTTAATATAAGACAACTGTTTATTGTGAGAATATTAGTTTATCATAAAATAATTTTAAGAATATTTTACCTGTTTTTAAAATGGTTTGAGCTCCTAGACTTTGCTCTTAATCAAAATAAGTTTCTTTAAAAAGGGAAGAAACTACCTGTTCCTGTACCTTTTTGGAAATTTCTCTCAGAAAGATTTGTGCTAGCCTTAAAAGTTAAATATTTGTGGGGTTTACCTTTAGCAATTTCACAGAAACATATTTGGCAAAGTTTTTAGTGTTGAGCTAGTTCCTTTTTCCATACTTTTATATCATCAATCTATTGATCATCAATCTATTGATTTATATCATCAATCTATTGATTTATATCATCAATCTATTGATCATCAATCTATTTCTTCCTTGACTGCATCGAGCAATCTCTTGAAGTTTGCAAGACAAATCAGCATTTTTCCATTTTAGAGTAACTGTGTCTGCAATATGGATAATTTAGGACACAGTTTCTATGTATCAAACAACAGAACTTACTGTTTTTCTTATTTTGTTTCGCTGTTATTTGCTGCGAATATAGTTGCTGTATTTCTTTGTTCCACAGAGAACATAAGCTATACACTTGGGGATCAGAAAGGTCATAGCGCAAACTTTGCAGAGTTTAGAATCCTCAAAAAGTGGCCAAAAATCTCTAATCTAATGAAAAGTATTTTTTATATTTAGTTGAAAAATGTTAAAGTAAAAGTATATAACTCGCAATAATAACGAAAATGTATTAAAGTTCATTTAAGTAGTAATATAGTAAACGCACTTAACAAACTAGAAAAGGTTTTTTGCAGGACATTTAACTTTATAATTAAAAACAAATTTGTCACCCTATTTTATCTCCTAAAATTCGGAAAATACATTTAAAATAAAAATTTCCTCAAAATAAATAGTTTTAATAAACTCTAATTTGCTTATTTAAATTTCTCAATTAAAAAAAATGCGTTTAAAAAAAGTAGCCTAAAAGTCTTTTCACTAGCTATCCAATATTTGTATTAAAACTTTATTAAAAATATAAAAATGAATACTCGAATTATTTAGTACACATCCCAGTGGGGAAAAGATAGCAAACTAAAACAAGACATGTTTCAAACGTATAAAACACGTATTAACACGTATTTTACACGTCATAAACGTGTCTTTTACTCATCGGTTGCAACTAGTTGCTAGCTTATTTCCCACTGGGATAATTTCACTATGACAATTTTCTATATCTCTTCTGATTGTCATATAAAAAGAATGAGACAAATAATAGATAGTTGTTTTTTAATTGTGTTTTAACTGCGCTTAGTGACACCTCCCATCCTAATTTTGGTATCTTAATAGGATTATCTAATTTTTTACTCGTTTAGCTGATATTTTGTTTCGTAAATGATTTTTTTTTCTTAATGCAGTTTTATTTAAGTTCAGAGTAACAAAGATTGATCTAATTTTGTTTGAGCAGATGTTATTAAAAATTGAAATGAATAAGTCATATTTTTTGTCTTAATAAGTCATATTTTTTGTCGTTTTTTCATATAAGAGGGCGGATCCAAAGAACTAGCAATTTAATGATCTTTTTTTTTTTTTTTTTTAATTCAGAACCTTTATTAAACTCATCTTAAAAGCAAACTGACATTATTTTAAAAATATATAAAAAGTAAAACCATTAAAAACATAGTGTTCTCTACTACAGACGTATTCATCGCGCAACCGGATTTTTTTGTGGAGGCCTACTTTTTTACGGCAAAAAAATCTCCACGTTCAGACCGAAGGAACTTTTAAATTTTTAAACGTATAAAGTCTTATACGGAGTCAGTTAGAATATGCCAGCATATTATACCTATCAATCCAAAGCGCAACTAAAGAGGCTTGACGTAATACAAAAGCAGTGTGCCCGTATCATCTGTCATAAACCTAGGAACACTCATCCGGCTTCCCTTTTGGACGAACTAAAGCTGTGCACCTTGAGGGAGAGAAGAAATGTTCATGAAACAAAAGTAGTCAAGTTGGCGTTGTTGGGACTATGTCATCCATCAATGGCTAAAATGTTTAAATTCAACGGTGATTCAAACCTTATTGTTAAAAAACCTTAATGACAAACTGACAAAGAAGTAAAGGCTTCAATTTTATAGGGGCCAACATATTTAACAGAGTTGTCTCTTAACATATCTATCGCGTTATGCCATTGGGATATACTACTCAAGCAGTGGAAGAGGAACCGGAAATAAAAGATCAAAAAAAAAAGTTTATTGATTTTAGTATATAAATTATAAAGTGACTTTATAAAGTAATTATAAAGGCAAAGTTGTTCAACTGTATTAGAGTTTAAATAATAAATAATAATAATAATAATAATAATAATAATAATAATAATAATAATAATAATAATGATGATAATAATAATAATAAAGACCAGATACAATGTCATGTCGTTTATGATATATATTTAAATAATGGAATATAATACAATCTTAATAAACTTATATAATTTAAACTTTTTTTTCAAATTTAATTCAAAGCGAATAATTTACTTATAATATGGAGTTTCAGATTTAATTCAAATCGAATAATATATTTATAATATTTAGATTAAATCATCATGCCAAATAAATTTTTTGTTTATACTTGTCACACCAACTATCAAAGTAAAAAAAACAAAATATCTAGTAAAGTAAATAAAATATCAGTGTCTCGGTTTCCAAGTGATAACGTTGAGCGTGAAAAATGGATAAAAGCTATTCCAAACTCTAATTTGGTTGTTACCAAATATACTTGAAAAGGAAAACGTCGACCAAAAAATCCTCCTTCTGTTTGGCTGGGAATACCTTTATCTCAAATTTCGACAGCTAATCCAACTGAAAGAACTACCAAAAGATCTTTAATTGGCATAAGAAGTAGATTAGATAATGAGCTAGATACATTTCTTAAAAGGGATAAAGCTATTTTTTGTGACATAAAAAACAAGTTTGTCAATAGCAGTGATCACCAATATCCAGTTATATTGTTTATGGTTGATGGCTATGTTGTTAAACAATCATTGCAATTTTTTAATGGAATACCTTATTTTGTACTTAAAATTTATGAAAGTCTTACCATTGAAACATTTCATTATGGGATTAAGTGTCACATTTCTAGCTTAACAGTAAATCGAATCATAACTGTTGACACCTGGTTTACGTTTGATGAGATACTTCGTTTTTTAGGCTTTTTAAATACTGACATTAAAAAGGAAGTAATTTAAAGAGCCTAAAAAACGCTCAAAGTTAGTTGGAAACTTTATACACCTGAAATACTTATACGCTCTTTTGTATACTTTTTAACAACGAGGGCATTATATAATCGTTTAAGAAATGATTATCAACTTCCATCTATTTCAATACTGACTCTTACTTTAAAAATTTCTTTTATAAATATGTAATAAATATCAGTAAATGATATTTATTAGATATTTAGTACAATTTATTTATTCAATTTGTAACTCTCTTTCGGATAAGCAGAAATTATGTATTATACTACATGGTAAAATATATGTTTAAAAAAATTTGCTTTGCCATGGTTTTTGGTAGATCAAAGGATAACCCAGTAGAATTGTTCAAAACATTGTTAGCAATAATGGCTGTTTGTTTAAATGGGGTCCAAAGGTGTTAATTAAAATGATACCAATATAAAAATTACGATCTGATTTTTTATTTGAACAGAATAATTTATCTAGTCAAATAATTGATTCAGTCAGTGCAAATGTAAAAGCTATTATATGTGATAAGAATAGTGTCAATCAGGCTTTTTTTTAAATGTACGCATTCGTTCCGGAAAAACCATAGTTAACAGTAGATGGAAAGTATTTACTTTATGATTTTGTACACCTCATAAAAAATATTCGTAATCTTTGGTTAACTGGAAAAAACTCAGGAATCAATATTTGACGATAACGGAGTAACCAGGATTGCAAAATGGACTCATTTAAAACAGTTTCACAATGCAGAATCCAGAAGCTTTCTAAAGTTATCTGACCTGAATGAAACTTCTATTTCTCCTAAACCTGTTGAACAGCGGTGTGTATTGACGGTTTTAAGAGTATTTTCTGAAAAAACTTGCGCTGCTCTTTTGCAACATTTTGACATCATTCATATTGTTGTTAACGACACTGCTATATTTATCAATAAAGTTATTATTTGGTGGAAAATTTTAAATGTCATAGCCATTGGTACTGATACAAGGCATAATGATCCTTTGCAGGCTGTTATCAAAAATCCTGATGACAACTGTTTAAGTTTAATACTACAATTTGGTGATATGGCACTTAAAATGGCAGGTCCCAAAGGGAAGTGTATTAAACAGCTTTCTAAAGATACTGCAACT